CATGTTCACGAAGCTCCAGATTTTCTCGTCTATGCTAGTTTATCGCCGCGTCAACGGCTAAATTTGTAGATCGCTCGATGTGCGCCGATCGCCGATCGCGATACTTGACGCGAAACTAGAGTAGCACAGAAAATGCCGAGCCGATTGTTTTGCACTAACACACTTACTGTAGCGTCGCTGACTTCTCCGACGATGAGGCGAGACTACTACCGGGGCTCGCAGGACAGTCTCACTACTGCCCATCTCGACGACCGACGTTGTTCCGGCCCTCTTTATCGGGGCGGCAGTCTCAGGGGTATGCACTACACACACTCTCTCATCACGTTTATATCCAATACAATACACGTTTGCAAGTTTTTTTTTTCTCTTTTTTTTTCTCCAAATTTCTAGGCAGAGCAATATCGGTGCATTAATTTGAGCTCCAATGTTTCCACACTTTATAAGAAAAGACAAGAATATTTTGTGAATAAATATAAATGCAGAACTAATTGCAAATAATAAAATATTAGAATACAGAAAAGAACTGAAAGGTATTAATTTGTATCAAAGTAGCTTGTACAAAGTTCAATCTATAAATTTACTACAAAACTTTTTTGCAGAAGGGAAGTGGTTATTTATGAGTAAACTTTTCAAATTTATATTTATATAGTTTTTAATGTTTTCTCACAGCTTGTGACATATTAATTGTATTGCACTTCTTTCCGTTCGATTTGGCATGCCATGTAACTTGATTTTCGATACCTTGTAACTCGATGTATAATGTATGGCAGCTGAATCACTTGATATATATATATATATATATCTATGTGTACTATATTTAAGTAACATAAAACCTGCATTGTATTCAAATTGATTGTAATAGAAATACCCCCTTTTTTTAGTATCTTCCGTAGATTCGCCCGACGACGGCAGGGGCTCTTCACCTTGTCGCAGCGTGAACCAGCTCGGTCGACGCGGCTCCTACAAGACCTCAAGAGGTGGGTTCGATGTTGCTTATAATTATCGCGGGAATGCCGCAGATTCTGTACGATTGTTCGTTTTTTAAACGTTTGGCTTGACGAAAGTAGACTCGTTGCAGGATGTTATCACACTGGTATGGGCAGCTATATAATCTTATCAGAATTTTACGAATGTCACGAGCATTAGTCTTTGATTATTCCCGTGCGAGCGACCGAGCGAGGTCACGGCACTTTGCGGACATGACTGTGTTTTCCCTTTAGGTTTTATTGCGATTTTTTTTAAACTTTTCTTTTTGAATTTAAGTAGCGCCTCGTAGTGGACATTTTTCGGTTGGAACGCAACGTTGTTCTGCACCAGAAACTGCACCGGTCACCTCAGTTCTCGATGTATCCCCGGACATAGCTCGTAGTTAGATTCGGCCGCCCCCCCCCTTTTGTTTTCCCCAAGTCTTTCCTGCTCGACCACACCCGCTCGTTCCCCTCCCCCCTCCCTGATGATGCATACGATTGAAGCATCTCTTTCCCGCCCAATTTATTTAATCTCTCTGATCGTACATGGCGTTTTGAGTGTAACAAGGCAAACGTTGCGTTATTGCAGATGCGCAGGAGTCTCAGCAACAAGTTAGAGGCAGGCCTAAATACCAGACTTACCAAAACTTTAAGGGGAGAAAGTCTAATTCCCTGATGAATTTGTGCGGTAAGAAGCACCACAGTGACTTGGAAATACGTTCGATTTCCCCTTCTATCTCGTACAAGCAATCTCAATGTGTCCCGTGTATATATATTTATTATATATGATATGTCTCATCTCTCACCGTCCGGATATTTTTTGTAGCCAGAATAGCACACGTATATGCGCACTCACACGCACACACATACGTAGTGGCATGGTGGCAAGTTTGGACAGCACAGGTGGCAGTGGTACCTAACAACTCATACATACGCACGTCGAAACTGTATACGCATTTTTTCCTTTTGTGTACTTTAGCGCAAAGTTCCCCCCGACGCGGCTTCACGACGTGAGGATTTCTCTTTTTCTTTTGTCTTGTTTTCCTTTTATTTTCGCTGTCTCTCGCGAGCGATGCACAATTCTTTATGATTTGCAAGCGATTCGCTTCCCCGTTTCCTGACAGCTACGTCGAGGCGGAACTTTGTCCTGTCACTCTCTTAGGGCGACTCATTTCCGCTGCTGTCGCTGCTGCGTAGAGAAAGCTGGATTTTCAAGGCTTGTTTGGGCTTGTTGTTGTACAGCACTGGTTGTGGGTACAAGGTATATCTTGTCAATCGGTGTTTCTTTCAGATTTATTATGTCGGTGGCTGTGGTATCCACTTATGAATAACCCTCCCGATTTACCGACTCGTGTCCCTAGGTGTGTCCCGGTTTTTATCCCATCACCCCCGCTCTGTATCCCCTCACTGTTTTTTATTTCCAGGTATTACGGCGACGAGATGTAGCAAGTTCATCGTGAACACGTGGCCGCGCAATGTGCAATCCGCGACGTCCCGTCTCTTACGCTCTGTGTAGATGAACTTGCTATATGTCCGTTATTTAATATCAGTAATATCGAATATTTCGTATTGCGCGGAGTTGAATCATTAGAATGAATAGTCAGTTGAATTATTGCATTAATATTGTTTCCAATTTCGATGACATGCTAGAGAATTGTCACATTTATTAGATCATTTTTAGTATACATATATAGAGTCAGCAGTTTAACGAGTCGATAGATAGAAATGTCGAACGATAAAATGCATCAAACGCACTGGAAAGAATTGTTTGGATGAAAAATTTTGTAGAGGAAATGCAAAATTATATTTTTACATTCATACGAGACATTTCTTAAAGAGCAAGCGAGATGCCTTGTGCACCTATAACAAGTGACTAATATCTTTCATTCTGGCTAACCATTGTTAACAATCGAAAAATAATAATAAATCGGTGTTTATTCGGCGATTTATTATTGTTTGGACGAGGAAAGGGAAAAGGTATACACAATCGCGAGGAAATTCTCATTGTTTTAATAAAACGGGTACACGATCGCCTCTCCGTTGAGATTTCTATCTTCTATGTGCGGAGCGTGCGCTCGCAGGTGTGAATAGTGATCGAGATGGTATGGTGTGTCGACATACAGATTCGGACAGCGGCCTGGGCAGATCAACGCCGCCGAGACGAGCTGCCAGTCCGGGTATAGGCAGCATGAGGCACCTGACGTCACCCTCGGGCCCCGGCTCGCTACCACCCGCTCTAATGACGTCGAAGAAGAGAGTCTACGACGACGGCAGCAGCGACATCAGCAGCACGCCCAGTTCTATGATGGACTACAATGGTGAGTGACGGCGGCGAATCTTGCAAAAGGCGCTCACTATTTCATCAGCTTTAAATGAAAGATTATCTTGAATTTTAACATTATGTTTACGCCTTAGAACTTTACTGCGATGCATTGACATTCTATATTTTGAAGAAAGAAATGGTTTAGAATTCTTGAATAATCGCAATTCCAGGCCAAATAATGTGATACAAGATTCTAAAGCATAAAAATTAATGAAATATGCATTCTAACATTCTAGACCACTTTTTTGTTTAAAATGTAAGTTTCCAAAGTTAAGCAAGAAAGAAAATGTGAGTTCTAAAATGCTAGGTCTACCGAATGTTATGATATAAGATTCTAAAGCATGAACAATTTTTTAATATATCTTTTTTTTCAATTCGGCATTCAAGATCAGCCAATTAAAATAAAAAATGTAACACGGAACGGTTCTTGTGATATACGCAAAAAGAGAAAACACTCTAAGAGAGGAAAAGAAATTTGATTAAATAAATATCAGATATATTTTTAAGATGTAAAATATATCTTTATATTGATAAAGAATAGAAAATGTCAGGCTCTTGACTACAATATTAACAATTTTCGCGGCCGCTCGCGTATTTTTACGTTTACTGTTTTTTGCATGATTGTATAACGTCGTGTAATATGAAATCTCGGATTTTCCATCAGTTCAATATAATAAAGCGGGCGTTGAAGTAGAGCCGAACACACGGTCGCGAAAGTGTCAGTATATGATAATAATGTTCTACTTTAAAATTCGAATGTTTGGATCGAAAAGAAGAAATTGAAGAATTGATTCAGTGGAATGTCTTGTGCGACAGGACCGAGACTGTATAAACTGCCGATAGCCAAGTCGAACCGCAATATTATGCTAAACGCGGTGGAGTACTGCGTCTTCCCCGGCACGGTGAACAGGGAGGCCAAGTCGAGGGTCCTGGAGGAGATTGGTCGGTCCGAAAGCAAACACTTCCTCATCCTGTTCCGGGACGCCGGCTGCCAATTTCGCGCTCTCTACTCGTACTGTCCCGAGAGGGAGGAAGTAGCCAAGCTCTACGGTACTGGGCCCAAGCAAGTCATCGATAATATGTTCGACAAGTTTTTCAAGTGAGCAAAATCAGAAATGGGAATTCTCCAAATATTTATATCGATCGTTACCTATCGAGCTTAATTCTGCGTTTACGAACCGCTCGACGTCACGACGCTTGAAATTCTCTTTATCCTCCTTTTTCCAGATACAATTCCAGCGGGAAGTGCTTTTCGCAAGTTCACACGAAGCATCTGACTGTGACCATAGATGCCTTTACGATACACAACAGCCTCTGGCAAGGTAAAAAGGTGAACTTACCGAACAAGAAGGACATACCGCTCGTCATATAGTTTTACACAAGTGGTCACACACTTAACATTACGCTACCGTGCCCTCTGTTGTTCATAGTTACTATTTTAATACAGGCCCATATTAAATTAATGCGAGTACGTTGCGTTCTTAGTCAATTTTATAAGGACAAACTGATCGGTGCTGACCCCCGTTATGGGATAATTAGTGCTGGTGCGCGATTCTCGCGGCTTTCGAAAGGGGTGAAAACCGGAAGAGAGAAGCGTTGTTACCAGGAAGTATGTTTTTTTCATTTTTTTTTTCTTGCGTTTTCCATTTTTCGTTGAGAGCGTCAGCATCAATCACTGTGTCATAAGATTACCAGTATCTATTTATAGGAATGGTTTGTTGTCAATACACTCTCTTGAGGGGGGAATCCCAATCGACGAGCGCAAATTCATATGTAACTTTGTAACCTTTTCTTTTTTTCGAGAATTATGCACTGGAATTAATTTCAATTTTGAGGGTATTTTTATATACTTATGAACAAAAGAAAAATCATTAGTTAACAAAAAAAAAAAAATTATTGAAGAAATTATTTAAACAATTGTGAGGTTCTCTGTTTCAAAAGTTGCCGTGCGACGTCCAGCATAGCGACTGTTCTACTTATTTGAAGTGAAAAAACAAAGAAGATTTTTCTTTTTTAAGAAATTGCGCAGGTAGTGAACCTTGATTCGATGGAAAAAGTGCAAAATTGACAAAATGGTGGCAGTTTGAAAAAAGGTATTTTTTTTCGTCATTTTATTATACAATTAAACAAATTAAATTAAACAATTTTATTATTTTTGGAGATTTATTACCTGAAGAAAATATTTATGTAAATGTGTGCATTAGTAGAAATGGGTCGGTTAAATATTTTTCTAGTTATGTTGCACGCCAATTTGAAAAAAAAGTGATTTTGAGAGAGAGACGCGCTACATTCTAACGGACTGTAGCTCCATTTAACGTTCGAGTTCCGAATTAAAGCTTTGGAAACATATTTTCGAAATGCTAAACTGTCGATTCATTGGAATTTCGATTTTTGGGTCCCGTCGATTGGGGTTCCCCCCTTAAATACACCCTTCCCTCTTTTTTGCGGACTAACTCTCGACATGTAACCGCCTTGTAATCGTGTAAATCGCTGTGTTACGACTACGTGAACGCGCGCGGCTGTGTGGATGTGTGCGCGAAAGGTTGATTTTTCTTAAATTCACTCTTCAAAGAGGAGAAGACGATGGCGACGGTGTAATCTGTTCATGTACGCGATTCGCGCAGGTCTTTCTCCGTTCTTTGTATACTAGGGATCTAAATTTTTGAACGATTATTCTGTAGAGCGATTGAAAGTTTTTAAAGATTGTAAGGTAACAACGCGAATGTGAGGGATCATTAATTTTAGATGTGTCTCGTGCCCAAATCGTTGACTTTAAACTCGTTTTTATTTTTTTCCCGCCCTTTTGTATAAATAGCATGTAATGCAATCTCGCCGAAGAATGTCGTTTCTTTTTCTTTTTATATATCAGCCCTTTTTTTTTATCGGGAAACGTTGTTTTTTGATACTCGCTCATTATATTTTATCGCTTGAGATACGCATCGGCAGAGTGTTCGTCGCGGTTCGAACGGACGGAATTGAGTCAATGATTTCTCATACCTAGCGCGTATGTTTTTCGTGGCTGTTGACAATTGTGACGCGCAGCACGATTTTTGCGGTGCCTCCCTTTTGAGAAGAGATTCACGACACCGGGTGGCGGCGAGTGCCGGACGACAGCTCATGTTGTAAATAAATAAATAAGTTTATTGCGCGATTAGCGAAGCAAGAGTAAAAAACCAGCCTTACGATCAAGGCGCCACTTGCGTATGTTGCACGCGAATCTGTTTCCTTGGGACGCTAGTGACGATTGTTTGATTTACGACGATATCCTTTCGATCTATAACCAACGAACGTTGGAAGGCACGCATGCACTAGACGCGAAAATTGCCATCTTACCGCGAGCGATGCGTGAATTCTGATTGGGAGATTAGATAGTTATCATTGTGTACAGAAAGTGGATGTTTGCGTGAATATCGTTGCCTCGCCGGACAGGATCGAAGTGCCCTCGGAAAACGCGAGCGTTCCGCGACGCTTCCTTCCGAGCGCGCTTCGACCGTTCTTCATATCGTCCGTGCTTTTACGTGCGAAAGGAAGGTGGAGGACGGACGCCGTTGAAACTGCGAACTTTAAACAATAGAAACTTGCGCTTTTTCGAATGAAACTCTACGTCATCCCGCGAAAGTTCATCGTCTCTGGATTACATTCTGTTTACCAGAAATAAAAACGAGAAGAAGAGAACAAAAATGAAGCATTATGTTGAGAAACTGTGTAATATTGGATTGAGTGCGTAAAAACATTTAACGAATTGACAGTCTGACTTTTCTTGCACATTGCTTTTTCTATCGCATATATATATATATATATATATATATTGCTTTTTCCCGATTCACCAGTGAAACGGCACATTCGGCCGTACGTTTTCTCAGCGAAACCCTCAGTCAGTCCAAGCGAACAGAGCGTGGCGACCTGTGTGTATGCGGATAATGTAATTTATCGGGGTAACTAATTATATTTATTGTGCCATAAATTCGACGTTCGCTTTTTGCGCGGGGCTGACATCGGCTTCCTGTTTCGCTGAATAGGTCTTTCGACTGCATGTATTTCCTTCGTCACGACATTGTTTGTAGAAACACGAGATAAGAGAGGGGGCTAAGGATAGGTAGACTTAAAATAGACATTTTATACGACAATATTGAGGGTTTATCGTTTCCACGATTTATTTTCTCTCTCCGATCCTGGGTCTTATCCGCGATGACGATCGTCGATAAGCGACGTTCTCTCGAGGATCATTCTCCGATCATTTTTGTACGATAAGTCATTCTCCGATCATTTTTGTACGATAAGTCTTCGACTTTGGCAGTCGTCCCGCGATAGCATAGGTAGACCCTCCATATTGCGCGACGACATAACACAAACGTACACAGGACACAATTACCCGACATATCGAACTTCAATGTTCTCCAGCAGTAAAAACGCGGAAGAGTATATATTTTCAATTCGCATGGGATTGTCGATCAACGTGACTTTATCGTACCACGTTTCGTCGTTTAATCACGTGTAATGAGGGATTTGAGAGATTAAAAGCTCCGTCGAGATTATACAGATAACCGAGAAAGAAGTTCACTGCTCTATATTCCTGTCTATTGTAAATCTATCCGAATACTTTAATGTGGTGAGAGAGAGAGAGAGAGAGAGAGAGAGAGAGAGAGAGAGAGAGAGAGAGAGAGAGAGAGAGAGAGAGAGAGAGAGAGAGAGAGAGAGAGAGAGAGAGAGAGAGAGAGAGAGAGAGAGAGAGAGAGAGAGAGAGAGAAAGCGAGAACGATAAAATAGAGACTCTTAAGTACAGAAACAGTCCGAGTTGACAATATCGAACGTAAGGTATGCGCCATAAAAAAGAAAAAGAGAATACGAAATCCTTGAGGTAAAGTGCAAGTCGCGGTAAGTCCATGGTTTGAGAGAAAGGGAGGGAGAGAAAGAGATAGATTGATTGCGGTTATATATACATATATATATCTATATATATATATATAAATATATACATAGTCACTAATGTTAAGAACCAGCGAGAATTATGGCTTATGGAGATGGGATTGATTACAAAGTTATGACGTTAAGAGAAATCTCTCGATGGTGGTCGCTTATGCTTGATATTTATATTTTTTGAAAAATAGATGTTATTAATGAGCAGAGGAAAAACGTGAGGCGATAAATACGATAACTGAGCGAAGACAAAAGCGAGTGAGCCGTGATGAGGAGAAAACAGAGTGGAAGGGAAATAGAAAATTGAGAAATACAATTTGAAAATAATTGCGGCGCGACGCAATTCACACGCCGCAGTGGAATCGCGCTTACTAATAATAATAATAATAATAATAATAATAATAATAATAATGATAATAATAATGATAATGATAATGATAATGATAATGATAATGATAATGATAATGATAATAATAATAATAATAATAATAAACGATTATTCGTTACGTAATAATTGCCGATTTTTATTGTCGCAAAAATTTCAACATCAGGGCGAAATCATTTCTCGGACTTTATCCGTGTCTCTGTAAATATTATGTTTTTATATACACGTAAACGAAAAACGTATACCTACTCGACGAATATGTATATTTATTCAGTACGTCATGTAAGATTTGGGTCATAATTTACTGTTAGCATCTTCGCAGCGAATGTCATGAATAAAATTTAATAACCCATTTGTAATGGACTTTTATTCTTCCGCGAACGGATGTACGCAGCGTGGCCTATCATCGATTGAATCTCAATGAAATGTTTTCTGAGAAATATATAGATTCTTCTCTTGCCAGATATTTAAAATTTTAACGTAAAATAACTATAAACAGTCCTCAAATTACAAATTCGTTAACGTCGCGTAAGGTAAACAAAGGAATGAGATAAATGTTTTGTAGAGAAATCAAAATGGGGTGAAGAAAGAGCAACAGACGTGCTTTCTTTTATTATATGTGTTTTATGCATAACAGCGGATGCGTTATTTGTTAATTTTTTTTTTTTGCATATTTATAATATATTACAGTTCAACGAGAGTATCGAGAGTACATATAAATATTAAAAATATCTTCCGCAGATCATCTTTCTGTGCGCGCGATTAAGGGACACTTCACTTTTATAGGGCACTTGCACGCATTTCTCGACGTCTCTCGATTGGGAAGTCGATTTTCGAAATGTACATACTTTACTAGAAGTCTACTGCTATAAAAGTACAAAACGTGATTGCGCGCGCGTGTTCTACTCTACTCGTCGTCTCGTTGACGCGACGATCGCAAGATCGATTCTACGATTAACGATAATAAATAATGGCTTTTAAATACTGATGTACAAATTGTCTGAGTCTTCCGGCGAGCAATTAAACTATATGGCAGTGGTATCGTTACTTACGCGTCCGCGTAAGTAGTCACCGTGTCTACGTACGTGGCGACGTGTATGACGAATATTTGTCCGTGCCATCATTCATCGCGGCGAGACCGACGCGCACGGTCTCTCTTTTTCTCTCTCTCCGAGAGTCACGACTAACAAAACGGTCTACGGTTTTAGCATCTTTTGGCTTTGTTAAGTCTTACGTGTTAGAAAACGAAAGAAGAAGAGAAAAGAAAAAACTCGTCGCCTGCAAATATATGGCACGTTAATCCTAGTGCGATTGCGAACCTAACGCGAACAGTCTTTGGAACTAAGAGGCAGGGTGATCTTGTCGAGCGAACCGGGCGCTCGGCCTTCCGCTGTGCCATAGTAATAGTCTTTTTCCGCACTCCGTCGTCATTGAACCGGGCAGGAGCTCAGGTGGATGTTGTGCAGCTCCGCCATGTCAGTCCAGTCTCGCCTCTCCCCTGCTATCATCACGTTCCTGATGCACCCGTTGAAGTGGTCCCGCGTTATCAGCGAGCCTTTTTGCGCTGTCGCTGAAAGCAACGAATCAACGTTCAAGATTCTCCCGTATTTTCTTCTTTTCTTTATTATATAAAGTGTTTTATGAAATGTGGACATCATTTTTCGAAATTTAACGTACAAAAATGTCGGAAGGAAAGATTCTATTAGCACTTGTTCTTAAATTGTACGCATTTTCGTTTTAATATTAAGAAATTCCGTCGTACATTCTCTTACATGCAAAACAAAACTCAATTAGTTTTAATTAAGCGTGAGATTTTGAATAATATAATTCGTATTAAATTGTTCATCCATATTGTTTACCTGGTATACCGCCTATGTACAACGGACCGGAAGCAGTGGAACCCATGATGTGATAATTGACGTTCGTGGGCAAGCCGTATTTCTGGTCTAGTTCGTCCACCTTGAGCGCCAGCTCCTCGTCATTATACACGGCCTGGATCCTGTGCCATCGATTGTCGCAGATCGCGTACGGACTAGCAAACCGCTGCTCCACGTACAGCGGATTGTTATCGCCCAGATCGCCCGACATGATCACCCTGCCGTTGTTGAGCTCCAGCGACAGAGACGGCGACTGACCGGGTGCACTGATCGACAGCAGCACGCCGGACAATTCCGATGTTCTGAACTCCAGTTGGAGCTCAAGTACGGCACCCAGCTCGAAGTTCTTCTCTGAAAGAACGTGACGTCTTGGTTCTCGTAAAACTCGAGGCAAAAGTTTCAGAAGATAAAAAGTGAATTTTTTTGTAACAATCGAAACATCGCGTTGATCTAAAGTTGAAATTTAACTTGATTAAAATAATTTTTTAATATCTAAGAGATAAGTGTCAACCCTTCATAAGTTTTGCCGCGCGTTTGGCGATAATTCTGTTACTTACGATAAACAGCGTACGCCTCGTCCTGGAAGTAAGCTCCGCTCTCTACGCTCGGGAAGCACTGGCCGACGTTGTAGGCTCTGCTGGTGGAGCCCACCATGTCGTAGATGTTTCCGTTGACCTTCAGGCCTCTGATACATCCTTTGAGCGTTTCAAGTTTAACGACCACTTGTTCCGGGATGGGCGTTCCGCTCTCCGGAAGACCGCCGATGTACATCATGGATGCCAGACCTATTCTCTTCGGCACTTTAAGGGTGCGCGGTGTCTGCGTGTCCACCAGCAAAGTGAGCCTCCTCTCGTCGTGGCTGATGACGACGTGATGCCAATTGCCGTCGTTGAACGGCGTCTTAAACAATATCTCTTTCCTCTGTTTGCTCTTCACCAGCAGAAGAAGCTGCCCGTCGCGGATGACCACCATTAGATAGTGCTTCAATCTGAGACCCTGTAAGATGTGCATTAGTAACAATAATTATAACGTTAATGAAGCAAACTTGTCAAATTCGGAGAATTCATAAATCATACTTCAATACAATTTTTTAACGAATTTGTTGATTAATGAAAACGTGATCGAATAGCGATGCAATTTTCTCACCGGAGTGATGAAGAGTAGTCCATTAGGATAGTAGGTCCTAAAATCGAACTCTATCGCGTACTTTTTCTCCCAAAATTTTTTAAAGTTGAGATAGAGCTGCGTGTGACTGTGCGGCTTGTCGCCGAATTTCAGCGCGCCCGGTTCCAGCGAGTAATAAGGCACCTTTTGGCATCCTTCAGGCTGCGTGGACATTCCTCGTGACAGCGATGCTGAGGGCGCGAGGCTCGGCGCCTCTTTTCCCATGCTTGGTCCGGAACGACCGATTAAAGCGTGATCGAAGTTAACGACATCGTCGAATCGAATGATTCTGGAAAACAATAAAATCACGTTTGCTGTAATTATTAAAACTGCATCGAGACTTCGATTGAGATCTTGAGACAATTATAAATATTCAAAATAAATTATTATCTAATTTTATAATTTAGGCCGGTATTCATAGTCTGTTCTTATATTCAAGATCGTCTTAAGCACGAACTTATATTCGCTCTCTTCGTCAGACACAATCTATGTGTGACGAAGAGAGCGAATATAAGTCCGTGCTTAAGACGATTTGGAATATAAGAACGGACTATGAATACCGGCCTTAGACATTTAATTAACGCTTCGATGAACTTGTGCGAATCTTTTGAGAATTTTTGAGTACATTAACGTCATTTGATAAAATAGAGCCGTGAGTCCGGTTTACGTTGACGGAAAAGACAATTAGTTTTGAGGATTAAGCTTCCTACTTACTCGTCATTGAAAATCACATCTTTGATAGCGCCGTACAGCGGTGTATTAGTGGAGATCATCTTCGTGTTATTGATGAGAGCTGGCAATCCACCGAAGAACAACCCTCCGTTCGAATCAGGAGCTTTGATTGCGACGCTTGTAGGCAATTTTCCCGTGGCTTGATACGCATCATCAATCCTCAGTTCCACCTCTTTTCTTTTCTTAATAACAGTAATCGAATGATATCTGCCGTCGTTGAAGGTGTTGTTCGATTGGAGAAGCAGCTCGCCTTTGCCGGCGCTCAAGCGGACTTGCACTTGTCCGTTAAAAATGCACACGGAATAATAGCTGTTTTTCTGAAAAAAAAAAAAAAGTTTAATGGTTTCTTGATAATTGTAACACGCAAATAAATTTTATCGTATAATAAATAAATCATATATATGCGAATAATATTTTGATGTAAAAGTTCTCTTTTTTTTCGATCTACTTTTAGTTCTATTATTTAATTCTTAATATTTTGTTTATTAATATCCTTACATTTGTTTCTGCATTCGTAGTCCCGCTCAGTCTGTCTTCTTGACCCTCGAATGTGGAGAGAAGTAGCATAGCTACTTCTTGCATGGTTCTGAAGGAGAAGCTGAGAACGGAATGGATCTTTCGCAAAGTATACGCAGGATGTTCGAGATATCCGTCGCCGTAAAATCCGATTATCCTCAACGGCTGCGGCAGAAGAATATATAGAATAATTTGAGAAATATCTAACTGTTTATTAAAAATAAAACAAGAATACAAAACAAAATAAATGTTAGAATTCTTACGGTATAGAAAAAATCGACTTTATCAGAATCAAATCGTTAAGTTATAAAAATTCGGTATAGTTTATTGCAAATTCTTTTCGATTCATACTAAGGCCAATTTACTCTAAATAATTACTTAGCAATCTCTCGTCACGTCTATACTTTCTCGGAGCTTCTTCACGACTCTTCGCGTAATTCATGACATCGCATAAGAACTCGATATCGATTTCCAAATATTTGATGCTTTACACAATAGAGATACTTTCACAAGTAAATTTACTTTTTACTTTATTGGCTAAATTAATAACTAATCTATGTGACGCCACAATATGTTATAATCATTTGCAAGATGCAGTTTATCATTTAGAAAATATTATATCTTAAAAAATTTAATTAAAAATTTAATTTATTACTTTTGACAGATTACGAATACCGATTTCTTTTAATTTTATTTTTACACCGATAGAAGAATAGTTTGACGACTCACCTTATTGCCACAACTGGGTTCCACCCCGTAATATTGCTCGGCCATCGGGTCGTAGCCTTCTTGCACTATGATATTGGCCATGCATCCGAGGAACGACACTTGCGAAGGTAACATCAACTTCTCGGCACGGAAGCTTGGTGGCAGTCCGCCGATATAATATTTGGCCTGCGCCAAATCCGGAATGTCTTCTTTCTTAGGCTGCGGCGTAGGCGCACCGATCCGCTTGTCGTTGTCCCCGCCGATGCTCAGGCTGCACTTCTCAATGTTCTTGCGAACTTGATATTGCCGGAAAGCGTCTACCTTTGTCCAGTTACCGGTATTGTACTTGTGAGTCGAGGACATCTCCATACTGACGTTTCCGCCATAACCGACATGGAGAATCACTTTGCCCTCTCGTAGGAAGATCATGATATGCTGGTTCTGTTTGTCATAAATAATACAATTATTGTAAAAATGAGGAAGTTGTATTAAAATGTATAATTATCAAGTTAATTTGATATTTTGATTTAAATGTGAACTGTATATAAAACTATGTTATTGTTTTTTAAGCGTGAATTATTATTCAAAATATAACGTAAAATGTTTACTATGAAAGAAGTTTAATAAATATGAAAAAAGTATTGAGAAAATATTGAGAGAAGATTTAAATAAATTCGTACATTATCTTTGTTGATGGCCAAAAATAGCAATGCGTTCTCGTCGTATGTTCGAAAATTGATCGAGACTCCAAACATATATTTATTGTATGGACCCGACGAGACTCTGTTCCTTACAGCATAGCCCTCGCCGTTGAAACTGTAAGCTATGTCATCTCTGGCATCTTCCGCTCTGTAGAATTGATATTATTGAAATTAAATAAATAAATAAAATACATGCGATGCGTTTGCATTAAATTATCAGGAATCTTGAAATAATAACGCAAGATTTACTGCACTAGAGATAAGCGCAACGTTGAAGAAAAATTTAGTTAATAGCTCTTAGCAAATTACCCTTCCACGCAGGCTTTGCAAGCCATATCCGGCGCGGTTGTGATAAAATTCCAAAGGCCGATCTGACTTCCGTCGAGGACCACTTGATGAATGCAGCCCGGAAGGCCATTAGTCGCTATCAATTCCGGCGGCCTTCTTTGCGACTTGGGAATACCTCCTATCCATACTCGGTCTGTAGGCAGAACGTCGAAGCGACCATACTCGGAGTTCGTCGAATTAATGACAGGGAGATACTTCCCGGATGTGGAAGTCTGCTTGCGCACGCTCAGCTTGCCTGTGTGTCGAGTTCTGAGGTTTTCCAGAAATATCGATTATTTGAAATTAATCAAGACATATTTAACACATTAAAGATTTTGTAAAAATATTTTTTTTCTTAATGTTACATTTCAATTGACAATTTATTTATATTAATTAATGAGATTCACATTCTATATTCACATATCGTGAACTTACAAGCACTAAGTCGTCCTTTTTATTGAATTTTAATTGTTTAAAAAACTGTTTTTACGTATCATTACGTATAAACAAAGCATGATTAGCTTAAGAGATGTATTTTTATTTGAAAGTATCTGAAAAGCCAAATATAATTTATAGAAAAATTAAAAATCTGTTTAAACCTTAAATTGCAAATAACTCTGAATCTAATTTTTAGACTTAGTGCTTTTTGTTTGCAAGCCCACAATATTATCTTACCTTTCAGCTTCGACCCGATACCAGAATTTGTCGTTCTGCAGATCGCCACTTTCGAGGATTTCAGGATGCGTCAGGACGCCCGTACCACCGCCGACATTCCACAGAAATCGCACTTTTCTGTCGATTATCTCTAATGCAACAAAATCGTCCTAAAAGTCAAAATATTACTTTACTTATAAGCAACTCATTGTATTTTTTAAATTCATATTATTATTACAGAACATACATTAATTCCACTTGGCAGATAAAATAAGGAACCATCTTTGCGCGATGTCGGAAGCGCAAATGTCATCACAATTGAAGTCGTCGAAGAGGACTGCAGTGTCGCCGGTCTGTACGAACGTATGCATTCCTTACCCTCCACCGATCTCACAGAAACGCGAATCTAGAGAATTTCAGGTGGAATTATTTGTTATTAGATTTAATAGTTGACAAATTAAAGACGCAATGCAAGCATCATTTCTAGTAATTGATTCTTGGCAATAAAGAATTTATATGGAATCAATTTTATTCAAAAATTTATGTCAGAATATTGGAATTTGAATTGTCGTTACCCCGTCGGCGGTATTGCGTGCCTCGGCGATTTTATCTTTAAGACTTTGCAGCTTTGCGGCTAATGTGTCATTCCACTTGTCAAAAGCAGCCTTCCGCTTCATCGCAATGTTTGACAAACTTATTAGCTTCGTGTCTGCTTTCTTAATATTGCTTAGCGCTTCTGACACTGAAATCAACATATTTCTATTAAGCGCTGATAATCTTAATATCATCTCATCGCTTTAATCTGGAACTCTTTAATAATCGTTGCTAAATGTTAAATATCAATAAAAAATGTTACATTTTTCGCTGGCCAGTCCGATCTTTGAATCGCCATCACGTTTCAATTCGTTTAACTTTGACTTTAGCCTATCGGTAATGCCTTGCTTGTAATCGTCGATCAGTCGTTGCGTGTTGCTTACTGATTCTGACACTTCATTGTTTTCGTCCAGGATATCCAACAGATCTTCA